TAATAACTTTCGTAGTATTTGACAAAGGCTGGCTTTTCCCACATGTACTTAACAGTGCGATGCCCGGGTGTGATATACAACAATAGTATTCACCTTACCTTTTACCGATTTCTTTTTACCCCAACTTTCAAAAATATCATTAAAATCGACAACAACTGTCAAAGCAGGCACGAACACCATTCGTGCTACGCCTTGAAAGCAGCACACGTCCGCTCGTTTTTGTCTCGTCAAGTATGTGCATTGGAGCGTGCTATCGAATACGATCTTCGGACAAAAATGCCGGAGTTGCGCATCATGTTGTTTAATGTCATTGCTCAGACAAACATTGCAAATATTCAGGCTTGTGAAGGGCGATAGAGTGGTACGTTGCTCGTTTTGAGGGCCTTCGAATGGCATTTCACTGGTAATGGCGGTATTTTCGTGCTTATATGGTTGAAGAATGTCAGAGGACTGGAAGAACTTGCATGACTACCGGTACCGTATCCCATGGTTCATAGACTAATAGATAGCTCGGCGGTGTGGCGCATCGTGCTAAGCGTTAGGAATACGCTCGCCACCTCATTTCTGATTAGGTACCCTTCGTGGGATCGCAGGTTCGAATCTCATGCGGGGATGATCATGTGCGAGAGGATTGCTGGACTCCTCGCCGCCGTAGGGTGGTTCATGTAACCGCTAGTCGATTACGGCTTCCTCCACCATAAAGTCCATGCTTCCGAAAATAAATAACTGGCTAACTAATCCCATACCCGACCTGGACTGGAACCGGACGAGAGGCCGTGGTTCGCCATATGATTAAGCCGTCTTATCGGCTTTCCTCTCCTCGGGATAAATATGTAAATCCTAAGTTAGGACTGGATTGGTGGGTTTAGTAAAGAAACAAATAAAATGCAGGGGCAGTTTAAAAAGTCTTTTACATACATTCTTGGAAACATTGCACAAACTACAGCAATCTGTAATTAGACTATGAACAGATGAATATTTTTTTCAGATACATTCATGATGGTTCAGTCGTCAATCTTGGTTCAACGCTAGATTTCAAAGCCAAGTGCTATAGATAAGTTCAGGAGTCTCTGCCACCACATCATTTTCAAATAGTGGTATCGCTGGATAGTCACCAAGTCTCTGATGCAATTTGTACATGCTAGGCACGGTGAGGGCACTTTTATGTTGTATCATAGAAACACAGATTTGTTAGCTCAGTAAGATCGGTGCAAATATGCTATTGAAAAATTAGATTCAACAGGTTTATTGAGGTATTATGATCGATTACATACCACATACAATTACAAGACCAATAATGTTATAGTGATAACCATGGTTTAAAAATTGTTACATATTCATCCGGACTTCTGGTGCTTGTTGCCATATCGTTGGACTAACCAAGACTCTCTAACAGGTGAAATTGATGGGAATAAAAGATTTCCGCTGAGCCAAGTGTGTACAAGCCTTCCCCAGCATTGGTAACAACCTATATGGACGGAACAAATTAGATCCAACAGTTTTGTCGTCTGTAGTTGGTGTTAAGCCCACAAAGTTAGTTCGAGCCAAAGTTCCAATCACACCTGTTCAACCAAAAACAGTCGGGTATCTGATAGGTTTTACAATATAGTTTATTCAATCAGTGTAGAAATAGAATATAACAGATTATAAAAAGTATATGATGAAGGAACAAGCAAGTAAATCCAAGAAAATTAATACAAATTATGATAAAAATACACACCAGATACATGCTTTTAAGCACAACAAAATAATAGAATTAGATTCATTTCAAAATTCCATTCACGGACATAATGTATCACAATGATTTTACTACTGACTTATTTTATTAAAGCTGCCTGGTTTCATCTGCTCACTGAGCACTACCTCATTGTCAGATGCGACCTTGTAGTCCACACAAAAAAATGATATTTTAATCACCAGGGTCACACAGGACATAGCATGCATGCAAAGCATATTTTTTCACCAATAAATTGTAAAAGATTCTGCATGACGTCCCAAGTCTTTAATAATAATTTACTTCCTCATTTATCATTTTTACAGTTAGCAAATATGACACCAATGCTAGAAGTAGGTATCTGTTAAGTGTTGCCCGATTCTGAATCTTGTTGATTCTTCTGTGTGCTTTTATTGTAGATAATTCTTTTTTTGGTGGGTAGGTGCGTACTTTTTCAACTCTATTTTTTTAAGTTATGCTCGACTTCAATTTTTCTCTGTGTTTTGTTTGTCTGTTCACTTGTGTTATTTCATGCCAGAGAACCAAAATGATGATGATACTTGCTTACATTTTTCTGCTGTCTGACACGCTTTTGACAAAGAGCTGTTATTTTCATCTGTGGCACTTGAGGTACAGCAGTCGCAATAATGATTGTCAACGTGGTGTCCATCTCGGTGCGTAGTCCAATAGAAAGGCAAGGAAAGACCCTCTTTCAAACCCCAAAAGTGCGTTCTATGGTGATTCTAGATTTATTAAATTTTTGCTCAGCATCACATCGTGGAGTCGGGAACGGCGTCATAATGTAAGGTTTACATACGTAACCGTTGTCCGCCACCAGCATATTTGTGTATGTCCCGTTTTCAAACTTTTCCCGCAAAGAGCTTTTGTAAAAATTCTGGCATCGTGACCTGAACCTCTCCAGCGCGCGACAACATCCGTGAGATCCATGTCTGCGTCACACACCGCTTGAACGTTAATAGAAAAATAACCCTTACGGTTTCTGAACAGTTCAGCGTGCTGACCTAGAGGAGACTGAATTTTTATATGAGTGCAGTCCAACGCGCCAACTACGCCTGGAAATCCAGATTTCTGATAGAACTTGATCGTCTGCGTTCGAACATCTTGTTGGTCGGTGGGAAATTTTATGAAGTCATCATGTTTTATTGCAATGATTCTGCTGACTTCCTTCACCAGTCTACTAACAGTTGGCTGAGAAACTCCTTCAAGGTCTCCCGATACACCTGGAAGCACCCAGTTGCGTAAAAACGGAGCACGACGGTGAATTTCAATAGTGGCGGTAGCGGCGAACCCCTATTGTTGACTTCGCTAGGTCTTCGTGTAAAAAAGCCATGAAGTTTACCACGCCGTTTTTTGTGAGTCTGTAACGATCAACAAACTGTACATCGGTCAAAATCCCAAGTGGATTTTGTTGATCTTTCAGGTATCTACAAGGTCCGGTATGCCGTCTGACCATTTCCGCAACTTCTGCGACATATAACACATCCATTTTCAATGTTATCTGCCTCGCCACAACTCACCGAGCACTACAATGCGATTTGGCCATACCCAAGTACGATGTCGAGCAGCCCCTGACCAGACTTGAGGTTCCAACTCGAAATGGCAAAATTCGTATCTTTTAATTTACTACTTTGTGCGTATTTGAATACCAAGCCAGCTCCAGGTCGTAGGCCTACTTGAAGCCCCTCAAGCTGAGCTTGAGCCCTTCTCAAACTCGAAACTCGAGTTTGGTCTCTGAATACCGATTTCACACCTAAGTCCGACTCGCATCCAAGTCAAGTCCCACTGGGTGCTCAAGTTGCTTTTCAGAATACGGCCCTTATTAGAATCCAAGATACGCGGAAGAATAAATTGTTTAAGACTATTTTTTTCTAGTATTCTGTTTTTTGTGTATGTAGTCCCTTCATGTCTCATTTTGAAGATTTCCTATGTGTTATATTTTTTGTGTCGCAACAGAGATTACCTTTATCTGATTTAGACGTGTTGCCGGTCTTGCTCTAACATCGATAGGAAATCACACAATCAAGGAAATCACACAACTTAGCCACCGATATTTTTCACACTAATGCAATCTTTCTTGTATACTAGCAAGTCCACTAACAAAAGTACTGGCAGGCTATCGTTCTTAGAACCTTGTTCGTCAATGTGTTACAACCTGTGAGGCAGACCAATGGGCCTGTGTTCTACGTGATGTCTGTTTCTCTTTTGAATTGTACTAAACATTTTTTCGTTCTTTGTGTTGCCTGCATATCTCATAAATTCATCTTACCTAATTGTTATGACAAAATAATCGACTGATTTTCCCTGTTCCTGACGTGACAAGCATTACCGTCTCATGCCGCAATGAAAATATGCCGATCAAAGATTTTTGAGTAAAGTGTTCATACTTCATTTGTGGACTGTAACTCCTTACTGCGTGAAGTATTGCTGCTATATTTGGGCTGGTGTAACATACAATACTAAACCCGGTAGACCGAATTCAAGAAGAAAATCAGATATGATTGGCGTCCGTACTGCAAACTTAATCCCATCGACGAAATGTTGCCTCTTTGTGTTTACTTCACAGATATTTTACTGAACTCCGTTTTTATAAACTTCTCCTCCCAATAAAAATTCACGATCCTTGTATTCGTTATGGCTGTGATCCGAACCTGCAAACCCATGAAGAGCAATCGAAGGTTCGGTCGTATCTCTAACGCTTAGCATGATGCGCCACGTCGCCGAACGAATATTGCGGTATATTTTCGTGTAAAAATACATTATCGAATAATAGGAAATAGTTTTTAAATTCGGACGTAAACGAACAAAAAGGACAAGTCGGACGTAGGCGAAAAATTGGTCTCGAATGTTTTTTTTCAAATCAACATCGATCGCGTGTATTAACATATAGCGAGGATGACTAACCACTGACAAGTGACTCACCAAGTCACTAATTAATGCAAAAACATGCTAAAATTCCAGAGATAATTTATAGAAAAACCGGCTTTAATTCAATCTATCAATAAATGAAATGCGGTGTAGTATGTCGGAGTACAGCTGTTGGCACTAATACGGTCTCAACTTTTATGACATAATAATACCATTAATTTGCTCATTTCTCCTAAATGCGGTTCGTTCCCCTCCAAATTGACATGGGATTCGAGAAATGGACAAATTTATTAATTCGTTAGTTTATTTAATAAAGGTTTGTCACAATGTAAAGTTCAAACATTTAGAATGCATCAAACGTAATCAAATAAAACTATGTGATTAAAGAGACAGAGCGGCGGATAATGCAGTGGATTTTCAAATCAGATAAAAAGTGAAGAATTGAATTCAGCGTTAGATGCATGGTAGTAAAGTATTGATTGCATATATGCGATAAAATATACAGCAAAGATGAAAAAAAAATTAATCATCATCGAATATATTGGAAGCAGAAATAAACTTCAATTTATGATTTGCAATCCATTCACGGATTTTGATTAAGAAATGATAAGTGAATTCAATTGATGAAGAAACCGCTTGAAGAATGCACACGACAATATTTCATACCCAGATAATATCGAATGACATTAAAAACTGAATAGAAATTAATAAATCAATTTAATTTTTACTGGCCACTGGCTATATATAACACTCGCTTCCAATGATTTATGATATTGGTGACAAATTCCACATAACAAGGATATAGAATCCCACTATAATGTAAGGCCAATGTAAGATTTATAAACTCTGTTTTCCTGTCACTGAGAGCAGGAGTGAAAATGTTCATCAACCAACAATCGTTTTTTATATGGGCATCAATTCTGTCCGACTACACACTGTCATAATCGGAATTCACATAAAAAATGCTACAAACAAATATAGGGTATTTAATACAAACAAATCATTTAAAAAAATTCTTCACATCAGTAGTAAACATAGCTATGTCCAGTGAGTTGAAGTTTCTAGGCAATGTCATTGAGTAATTACATTTAAGAAAACTATATAAATTAATTACGATATGTAATGCAAGAAATCATTATAGAAGTTTAAAAAATTTACTCAGTGGTAACACGAGCACCTATTAAATGTCAAATATCTATCATACAATTCCATAATAGTAAGAATACAAACATAATCTCCTAGCATGTCCTTAAATGGTAACTAACTATTCCCTGTCATATACAATCAGATCACTTCAAATTAATCTTCACTGCACCGAGTATCCTCAGATTCATGTTCTTCATGTCAATCATCTCCCATTGATCTTTCTTGAAATCAAACTTTTCCATGCTTCCTGGTGAACTGAAAAATATAGAAAATATATTTCAGTTCTGCAAGACAAATGGTTTGTAAAGTGGTTGTTAGGCTACTCATTGAAAATATATTTTCAAATTCTACAGTAAATCAAAATACAAAAAAAGCAAAAATGACCGGTTACCGCAGGTGGCAGACTCTGATTCAAACTTCATAGTCAGCAATATGATTATACTGCTTCTTCTATCCGCACAAAGAGCTCAAACCAAAAGCGATTATCTATCCAAAGTTATGAATATATATTCACAAAAATATAAAGATTTCAGTTTATTTATATGAGCATCGACAATATAGACACTAGATTGGCCCAACACTTATAGTGATGAATACAGGGGAACAAATATTTCTTTGGGAATAAGTATTTCAGAACAAAATCTTTCAGAAGACCCTAGTGCAGGGGTGCCCCGTGTCGCGACCCCAAATTGGATCGGAGTGATAAGTAGGTAGGGTCGCAAACAGATCATGGTGTCGCTGAGGTATGGTAAAAGTTTATTAAAAGTGATTATTGGAGCCGCATAACAAACATTAACTTGGAAAATTCTTTGGTATGTTGCCTGACATCATACATCCCCAGATACAGGAAATTGATTAATCTTAAACAGTGACCATTCCCAATAAAAGAAATTTTCAATTTTAAAACTTTTTTTTTTTGTAATTTTGGTATTTTTAATTAAAATCAAAACTTTAAATGTTTTAGCCTATTTAACTTAATACCACCACACGACCAAACTCAAAAGTTCAGTGAAAGGAGCTCTAAAGTTACATGGAAAAAATATATATTGACCTGGGGTCGTCCTGAGAAAATCTTGGGAACCCCTGCCCTAGTGCCTACCATGTTGTAATAAATTTCAATAACTCTACCTGTTCCTTCCTCCAACTGCGTAAATATTTGAATCAATCACATAAGCACTAAACCAGCTCCGCTTCGTTAACATGGGAGTTACCATGGACCACACGTTTGTTGAAATATCATATCGTTCAACTGTTGAAAAGCGATTTTTCGTACATCCCCCTGAATAAAATATACAGTTTGTTTATATCTGCTTGCAATTTTGCCAAAATGATACAAAACAATGTTTATTCATCTTTTGACAATCTCACCTACACAAGACAAAGCAATAAATTAATAAAAATGAAATAGTGAACTAACATGATGGCAGGTAACAACTGCAATCTGCTTGCAATTTTGCCAAAATGATACAAAACAATGTTTATTCATCTTTTGACAATCTCACCTACACAAGACAAAGCAATGAATTAATAAAAATGAAATAGTGAACAAACATGATGGCAGGTAACAACTGCAAGGTGATGAATATAATGCGGAAAATTTTACTAGCCTGAACTGAAGATTTTGGAACTTGTTCAGTATGTCTGAAAATCACTCCAAATTTCAACTACATATACGTCCTTACAGCCGTCTCTAGTAAGAAGGGCGAAACATTACCAAATGTATTTATGAGTTATAGTTTACACGGCAATTGGATTGACCTTTGCATTCGTGTAAGTATATAGGTATACAAACATTTGAACATGATTTGCCACATCACAATTTAATTCTGCAATTTTGCAGAATAACATGTTTGGAATATTAGTAGTTCATGACAATGCTTCAACATGTTTGCATTGCCTCTGATACCTTGAAGCACGGTCATTGAAATTTTCTGGTTAATTGCTATTTTATGTAAAACTAAAATGTTTTTTTCTTGAGGCTCGTACATTTTTAGCAACAAACACCAACCTACCTAGAACATATATATTTCCTTCATTTTCAACGGCTGCGACAAATCCTTTTGCTTCATTCATGGATGCAACAAATGACCAAGTTGATGATGTTGGGTCAAATCTTTCTACTTGGTTGGTGTAACGATCTGATACTAATCCACCAATGCTGTATATACAACCTGGAATTATACAAGGATTATTACTTTCAAGTGTTTTCTGCATTCTGGTATTCCATGAAAACTTAGGACAAACTGATAAATCCGATATCTGTTGGCAGTCATTTTTTATTCACCGTAAATGTATTGCAAGTTTGCATCAAAAAAACACTTTGTGAAAGCAACTTACTGGTCTGTTTCAAGAGGGGATTTTTTCCTGTTTGGTTTAGACCAGGGATTCGCAGCAGGCAACGTTATCTAGTGTGGCCCTTTTCAACACTCAGATTTTTCCCCATCAAGCATAAAGAGCTAATCCGACAGTTTATGTTTAAATAGTCACTCACATGGATAAAATTACATGTTTTTATGCTCTTTTTAATGCAATAAATACTTCGCCGTTTTGTCCGATGCCTTTATTACTGTGAAGCAGAGCATTTATCGGTCCAGCTAGATTTCTGAAGTTGTTTTTATGGCCCAACGACAATTCCATTTATTACCTATCGTATGACTGCCTGTTTCGAGCCAGTTCAACGTAAATAACATTTATTAAACAACACCTCCTAACCTCGAGCACCCAGTGCCGTTGAATAACAACTGTTGAGATTTTTGTCTTTCACTTTTTCCCATTTGTTGCTTGATGGATCAAACTTTTCAATTGATTGATGACCAACAACGTAGAGGTTTCCTGTAAACAATTAATTTTTCAGACTTATGGTAGAAAGCAAATGATACTCAAGCACAATAAAATATAAAGTAAATATCTATTAGGGAAAAGCAAACGGTATTCGGGGTATTTATACAAATATAAACAAGAAAGCGATCAGAGACCGCCGACTTATCGATCGCACTGCGGTTCCGATTCCTTTGCTCTGACTCAATAGCGACACCACGTGCCCCATCACTAATTAATTAATACCTCGCTAATTATACGACATAATTCATCCAAAATTAATAGGCTTCTGGTCCGAGATATGATGAATGCATATGCAAAATTTGGAGCAGATTCAACCTCGCTTTCGTGAGATATCGCGTGTATCTAACAGACAAATAGACAGACAAACAAACGGACAATTACCTATCAACATACTTACCGATCGAGATCGATGAGTAAAATAGATAACACAATAGCAATGGAAGACAAAACAAACTGAAAATAGGATAAAGTTTCATGGGATATATACAAACACAAATAAACTACTAATCTTGAAACAGGAGTGTTAGTGTATTGTATAATAAACTCAAGTCCAGGGATGGCCAATACCGAATAGTTCACTATTTCGAATACATTCGAAATTATTTTTTTCGAATATGAAATTTCGAATACTTCGAAAAAAAAAACCACTAATTGAAGCTTATCTAAATGTATGTAGGAATTTCCATACAATAAGCAATGGAATAACTGCTATCTACAAGTTACAACCTAGCTATATTACCAGGAATTTCATATTTGCAGATTATTGTGATATATATTTAGTGGTATCGGTGATGGATTTGAATATTTGCGCTCATCATAGTAAAACGCCCATACTTTTAAATACCAACCATTATCCAAATTATTTGTCAAAAAGCGGGATAAAGTATGAGTTATTTTTCCGACTTGTGACAATTTTTTCGTGAGTACAAAAATACGAATCAAAAATTAATTATATTCGGGAACTTTACCACACATTTCAAGTCCGCAGGTCGCCGTTGTATGTTTGAGTAATAATACTTTTATTAATTTATAAATATGAAAATAGGAATCAAAACTATATATAATCGGGTAGTTTACCACACATTCTAAGTCCACAGATCGCCGTTGTATTTTGTAAATACGGAAATAGGAATCACAAATAAATATTTATCGCGAGTTTGCCACACAATTTATGCCCACAGATTGCCGTGATATTGTGCCGAATATAATTAGTTTTTGATTCTTATTTTCGTACTTCGTACTTTTCGTACTATTATAGTCACAAGTCGGAAAAATAATTTATACTTTATCCCGCATTTTGAGAACTAATTTGGATAATGGTTGCCATTGATTTGTATTTAAAAGTATGGACTTTTTACTAGGATGATTTTGTGCTGCGCAAAATATTCGAATCCATGACCGATACCACTAATTAAAATGCCTTATCGTGTTAATTTAATTCTATTATCATAACTCAAATATTGGTAAATCGGGCAGTTTACCACACATTTTCAGGCCAGAGATCGCCGTTGCGTTTTAGAATTATAATAGTTTTATTATTTTGTAAATACGAATCCGAAATTTATTATAATTGGGCAGTTTACCACATATTTCATGTCCACAAATACCCGTGGTATTTGGTATTAATACTTTCATTACTTCATCAATATGAAGATAGGAATCAATATTTAATAATATCGGTCAGTTTACCACACATTTTATGTCCACAGATAGTCGATACAACCATGAGTTACGTTGAACAGAATTAAATTAATACAGCATGACATTTTTAAATGCTGGTAACCAGTCATGGATTGGATTATTTTGCGCCACAAAAATCATCCTGGTACGATACTTTTAACTATCGTTATCAAAATTATTTGCCAGAAATTATTTTCTAATAAATCGAATTGTTGTTCCAACTTGTGACAATTTATTGGATATCGTAACAATTACGGCTATAAATACCGTATTTCTCGGCTAATAAGTCCACATGGCAAATAGGACGATGTCTATTTTTAGCACTCAAAAAAGGGGTTTTTCTATATAGGCCTCCAATAACAATAAGACTGGTAGAAAAATTGTGTCCCAGTTGTTCAGCTATGCTAATATGCGCTAATAATTTTATATGTTGAATCCCAGATCATGTTAGTTTGGTAGAATCATACTCACAGAATTAACTATATTTAACAAATGAGCGGTAAATTTAAGTTGAAAAGCGGCAATCATTTTGGACAACCTATCAACCCGAATGTTGAAATAATTTTGAAATGTGATAAGTACTACACGGTACGTCCACGGGTTATTTCACAGCTGTGTTTCATGTCCCTGTCGTTTTCTGCTGAATCGGCAAAACGAAAGGGTCACAAATCACTTTATCTCGGTGGCCGTGTTTCTCTTTAAAGTAACGATAACCGGCCTGCGATTAAATATCATGATTGGCAGACCCTAAGACCCAAATATAAGGTTACACAAATCATGCTTGAGAAGCCTCATGCGAATAATAAGCAGGCCACTTAGAAATAAAATAAACACTTTCTCAATTAGACGCCTCCCCAAAAAAAAATAAAAAATCAGGCTAAAAAATAGGGCCTAGAAAAGCGACTTATTAGGCGGGAAATACGGTAATTGTCAATTTTTCGACGTAATGAAAATGAATTTGTAAATTAAAAGTCTCGTAGACGAATGTTGGCAATGTCCATTGTCCACCCACGTAAACGTGCAAATGTGTCGCAACACTATGCGACGTACGGTCGCACAGAGTATAAACAATCAAATTGCCGATTCTATTTCATCGTCATTACAATACGTGAGACAGCGTAAAAAGTCATTTGAAGATTCCCGTAAAACGAAACACCACGTTTACAGCAAAAAGTGGCTACTATTCGGAATTATTCGAAAATCAGCCGAAAAGGTATTCGAATACTTTGATATTCGAATACATTCGAATATTCGATTCGTTTTGGACAACCCTGCTCAAGTCCATTGGCCTTTCAATTCCGGATAAGCGCGTGTTTTAGCAAAGTAACTAATTATTTTGGCAATTTTTGTTTTTGCATTTATATCTTGTCTTGCCTGAACTTAAATATATGATCTTACGGAATAACTACTATTTCTTAGACAGTTAGATAGTGTTAATATGAAAATAAAATTTGTATTTGTACACTTTGATTAACTGACAAGTTTTACAAATCAGGAGAAAAAAATTATCTGTATTTTGTGCACAAAGCGTTCAGAAGAATTTTGGGTCATCCACAATGAAGTGATATAGTTACAATACAGGGCTGAACTGTAATTAGATATTAAAATATGTTTTTCATTAAATTCTTAAACAGACCAGTAAGATATTGTTTAGCGAACAAATTTTTGAATCGAATTCTTACCAGGCAAAACAGCAACAGGAGGACAATGCACATGGTCATACATCATATCATTCATTCTCTCCCAAGTAGCTTCATGATCTGAGTATTTCAGCCGATGAACAGATCGATTTTTCACGAGAACATAAATGTAGTCACCAAGAGCCACAGCAGAAAAATAAACTTCTGATCCAGGCGTGTTCTGGAAAATTTCAATAAATAATATTGCATTGAAGAAATCGTTGTCAAATGTAGATACGGATGAATGGGTGTGGCGGGATGAGAGAATCTAATCCCATTCGAATATTCGTCCTAAAAAGGCCTTGTCCACAGATGGCACTTCCATGCCAAGCGTTAGGAATACGCTCTCCACCTCATCTCTGATTACCCTGCGCAGTCGCAGGTTAAAAATCCATGACTGGATGGTTATGTGCAGGAGGATTGTTGGACTCATGGCCGATGTATGGTGGTTCACGTTACCACTGGTCGGTTACGGCTTCCTCCACCATCCAGTCAATGCTTGCAAAAAACTAATCCCATGCCCGACACGGACCGGTAAACGGACAAGACGCCATGGTTAGCCATATGATTAAGCTGGCTTATCAGCTTTCCTCTTCCTTGGGATAAATATGTAAATCTTATCACATACGTACAAGTCAGGTATCTGACTTTAAATTTATCCTGAGAAAGGGAAAATCAAAAGCTGATAAGATGGCCAAGTACAGTCGAAATAAAATAAGTAACGGATTAATACAATATGTGGAACTACCACAACCGTATCTTGCAATCCAATCGCATAAAAACACAAGCTTTGAGCATTTATATTTTATCATCTGGAGTAATAATGAAGACTAATGAATGATATTTTCTATGTATAATACGATTAGACTGAGATACCCTAGTTGACGGTTGTCAAATACTAACCTGCATTTTCGTCCAAGCATTATTCCGAGGATCAAAGCATTGAAGGCTCTTTGAATTACGATCAAACACTGCAACTGTAAAAAATAAAGTTGGTATCAGAAATGAAAAGCAAAAACAATAAACTATAGCATCGTTCGATTCAGGTCCAGACAGGTATATAGATCGTTTATTTTGTAAACTCCATAATACATACTAATTAACCAATCCATAGTTAGGTTAGTTTCTAAGTTCTAGGTAACAAATGGCATTCTGTATTGTCTACTTCTTAATTCAACTTACTTGCCTCCTTTTCTTCTTGTTTTATATTTGAAGCAGAGTGAACATTTGAGGCACCAACGTTTAAGCTGTCCAACATGGAAATGCATAGAGAGTGATAGCATTCCAGGCATGACTTCACCATTGGCTGAAACAACCAAAGTGCGTTATGTTATTACAATGAATGTTGAATGATATAAGAAAAAAAAACTGTTTTCGCATAAATATAGACTAATGTCAACAAATCATTAATAGGACTGTTGAGGGTCTCTCTCTCTTAAACCCTTTTCAAAACTATTCCGACTTCGGGTTGAAGAAAATTCCTATTTCTCTCTACCTGCAAAAATCAAATTTGAAAAACAAAAACTTTCGCTTCGCCTATGCAAGCTTGAGCGTTGTGAATGATCAGTTAAATTAGCGTTCTTTTGAGTTTTATTTTAAAATTTTGACTTTGATTATCAACAATACACTGCTGATTTTTCGGCATCAAAAATATAAAGATTTCAACTCCGGCTTTGGATCCTGGTAATTTAAAAATGAAAATATTCCAACTCTGAGTCCACAGTCATGAGTTCATGGAAATTCTAATATTATGTTCAAATATCCTAGCAATAATGAATGATTTCAAAATATCAATTTAAATATAACTGACCTCGTTTTCAACAAGAAATCTTCTATAAGTCACAGGTACTTTATGCAAATCAATGTAGTTGTTCAATTTCTTCAGAAGTTTTTTGCGATTTGTTTGCTCATGTTTTATCCAAGATACCAACGCCTCTAGCTTGACACTCTCTAATGCCTAGAAAAAATATAGAACATGGGAATATTCAGTTGTATCTATTAATTAGACTATTGAATTGACAGACAAATGCCCAGCATTCATGTAATGTGTTGGAAGTCCTTGCTTGAGTATTTATTTAATTATAAAAACGAGAATATCGGTCGGAGACCGAAGACTTATCGATCTTAGATCGGTAATTAGTTAATAACTCGCTAATTATACGACATAATTAACCCAAAATCTATAGGTCTGGTCTGAGATATGATGCATGCACATGAAAAATTTGGAGCAGATTCAACCACGCGTTCGTGAGATATCGCGTTCACCTAACAGACACACAAACAGACAGACATACATACAGACAAATACCTATCAATATACTTACCGATCTTAAGATCGATAAGTAACTAGTGGCTAGCAGGCTAAACCAGGCATTCAAGGGCAGGAAGGCCACTCCTATCAGCTTAACCGAGGTGGTTAAGCCAGGTAGTTTCTTATGATTGAGTGGCTGCTTGTATCATGGGAAGTTTACTTTGGTCAGCCTGAACTTAAAACCTTCCCCCAATGAAATGAGTGACTACTTGTATAAAGTCTTGTCCAGAATGAAGGAGTAAAGCAAACCTAACAAAACACTAAAAATACCTTGTTATCTTGTGACTTGATCAATCTAACAAACTCCTTTTCCTCTATTCCCTTGAACTCATCAAGAACTGCAATTTCTTCAAATTTATCCAGCATGAACTTCTCGCATTTTTGCATCAATTCTTTGTAATTGTACAGGTTTGCGATTCTTTTTGTCACAAAGAATGATTCTGCAGATGATTCGAGATTTTCTTCAAGTGAATCAACGATGCCTTCACAGACATCTGTTATCATAAAACAAACATTTATATTATATGTATTTAGACATTTATCTATGGGCAAGCACACATCCATTTTGATTTGTTCCTCACAAATTCCCAGTCCTCACACCTCTTACAAATTTTCAAAACAGAACCCGTATTAAATTAAGACATATTTTTAGAGAGAACATACGAAGCATCCTGGATTACTAAAACTTTTAGGTACCAATCATACATGAACAAAGCTCAAGTATTAAATAAATTTTGGTGAATGATTTCAGTGATATATGGCTTCTGTTTTTTTTTTTAGTGGTTAGCATGAATGAAACTTAATAATAACAGATATTACAGATTAATTAACAAGCTGAATGAAATCAGAAACAAACAGGTCTTTCTTTCAGTGAGAAACTGGCCAGGACAACTATAGATATTCAGGCCCAAGAAAACCAAATAGCTTTATTTGTGGGAGATTGTCTAGGTATTTTCAATCACAGAGGATTGAGTAAACCTCGGCGCAATATAAAAGAGAGATCTATTTTTATATCATTACCTCTCAACTGTGGTAATTCAGCCACAAACATCAAAGATTCAGCATTTTCATCATTAGTAGACAATTCACCAGTGTAAATATAATCTATGCATTGTTGCAGGGATAATGGATCAACTTCTTTCATTTCCACTTTACCAGACTCTGTCTCAGCATTCTGATGTGTGATAATACCAATGAATAAAACCACATTAACAAGGATAACAGTACTTACTGTGAGAGAGTTAACTCAAACAGTTTATGGCTGAGATAACACATAACATGAATAAACACAACTTACATTATGAGCCAGCATTGCTTTGAAATAATCAGATCCTACAGATATAATATTCCTATGAACTGGAATTTCTTCAGAGCCAGCTATGATCATGAAATCACAATGATCTCGAGTTTCCTTTCTGCTTCTAAAAAATTATATGTTACATCAGGATAGTGGGAGCTATTTTGCACAGGAAATTCCAGTGCTAAATTCTGAGTTTTATTACAGGGCTGGGAAGCTGACTTGAAATCACTATGGTTCTATCTATATTTCCCGAGCTACAGTCTGTTCGTCTTGCAAAGATGGCACAAGAATTACTCCTGGGGCTGGTTATTTTTAAATAGACCTACCTGTTGATTTCAGAATCAAATCTAATATTCCGTTTGAATCGAATCTCGAAATATATGCAATTGTATGTGACATTTTTATTGTGATGAGTCTTCCAGTCACATAAACTACTGAAAACATAGTCTCCATCAATCAGACAGTTCACTGAACGTTTTCCAGAAACAGTTTTATCAATAACTCACTAGATAGAAAGAGTTGCACCAGAATTGCATTATAAAAATATAGCTTCAATATTCAACCTTAGATGTCCAAATAAAAAAACAAGACGATGGCGATTTGTGTTCCTCAAATTTGGCAATGTTCAAGTTCAATCAAAATATCAGTTTATATTTCGGGCTTTTAATTTCCTTAGAGTGAACACCAGAAACAAGATTTATTCCTAAATTTAACTAGAATCCAGAATTTCAGTTTGTTTTTTGGTTTGGGGGTACGTACACTCATAATTTTCTCTGAGTGAATACTTAAAAAATAAATTTTTTTTTAATTTTACACGACTTGCGATGCACATACACTCTCATTATTTTTTTAGAGTGAACACCATATTTTTTGTGAACGCCCCAGGAATTTTTTAGAGTGAACACCAGCAACCATTGTTTTCCTAAATTGAGCCATAATTTTGCAGTTCATTTTTTAGCTAGTGAGGAAAGCATGCACCCCTAATCTTCTTAAGGTGAACACTTAAATCCACGTATCATGTCAATTTACAACAGACTCTAGCTCTAAACAAAAAAATCAGTTTTCATAACAAAAACTTGCGCATGCGAGCTTTCTTTTCTTTCAGTTAGTACAATTCAAGCTTTTCAGTTAATGGAAAGTTTTGACTTATTTCAATTTCTGGCTTGTGAGAAACCCATACGCCCATAATTTAGTTAGAGCAAACTCTGTTAAACCTTGCATCATCACTTAACCCGGGAATCATCTCTGAGTAAAGTTCGTGACACTCACTCGAAAAGAAGACTCATCCGTGGGTAAAGTTATGGACAATCACTCTGATATAAAAAAGACTCCATATCTGAGTAATGTCATGGGCAGTCAGAGGTAAAGGGTCTCATCTCTGGGTGAATTTGCTCGAACTCACTCAGAAGTAAAAAAGACTCATCTCCGAGGAAAGTTACAGGCACTCACTCAGAACTAAAGAAGTCTCATCTCTAAGCAAAGTTACAGGCGCTCATTCAGTAGTAAAGGAGACTCATATTTGAGTAAAGTCACAGGCACTTACTCAGAAGTAAAGGAGACTCATCTCTGAGTAGAGTCACGGGCACTCACTTAGATTTGAAGAAGACTCATCACTGGGTAAAGTCATTGACACTCACTCAGATGTAAAGAAGACTCATCTCTGAGTGAAGTCATGGACACTCACTCAGATGTACAGAAGAATCCTCTATTAGTAAATTCACAGGCACTCACTCAGATATGAAAATAGACTCACTTCTGAATAAAGTCACAGGCACTCACTCAAAGGTAAGGAAGACTCATCTCTGAGTAAAGTTATGGGTACTCACTCAGATGTAAATAAGACTTATCTCTGAGTAGAGTCATAAGCTCTCACTCAGATGTAGAAAAGAATCATCTCTTAGTAATGTCACAAGCATTCACTCAAAGATAAGGAAGACTAATCTCTGAGTAAAGTTATGGACCCGCACTCAGATAGAAAAATAAACTCATATCTGAGTAAAGTCATGAGTACTCACTCAGATATAAAAGACTCATATCTGAGTAAATTCATGGGCACTCACTCAGAGCCGAACCAGTGTGAACCTTACACGTCCAAAATAGTTTTAGTGTATCGGGAACCATGTTTGCGAAGAATAAGTGAGTCACCTCATAAAAATGTTGAAATATAGGTACAAGTGGTTAACCAGTAGAGAGCTTTTTCAAGTCCATATACTATTTAAAATGAGTACCTACTCATTTAGTCAGATGTAAAGAAGACTCATCTCTGAGTAAAGTTATGGACACTCACTCAGATGTAAAGAAGACTCTTTTTTTAATAAAGTCACGGGCACTCACTCAAAGATAAGGAAGACTTATCTCTGAGTAAAGTTATGGATACTCACTCAGATTTAAAGAAGACTCATCTCTGGAGTAGAGTCACAAGCACTCACTCAGATGTAGAGGAGAATCATCTCTGAGTAAAGTCACAGGCACTCACTCAGTTGTGAAAGACCAAGTACTCACTCAAAGTTAAGGAAGACTCATCTTTGAATAGAGTTATGGACCCGCACTGTTACGTCTAAGTACAGTACCTGAATTTCTCCTTAACCCCTCTCCGTGCGGTGGGCACGTATACTTACCAACGACAAAAGCCGCTAGATTGCGGCGGGTACGTTGATGTACTCCACTGTTTTATTTAGCAATCGGTCGCAAACTGTTCGTCTAGTTTTTCCGGGATTTAGTTTATTAATAAGAAGTCTTCTTAGAGATTAACATAAGCGACGGTAAATCTTGCTTTCGTTTACGGCAGGAATTTTATTTGCGCAGAACGAGGGAGTGTTTTTGAAATTTATGCAAATTTCGGTGTTTTTTGGGTGGTAATAGAAGACATATTATCCTTTCCATCTACCAAAGTATTTTGAGTTAGATCACGAAATTGCTACAGCGATATTATGCTATTGTTTGCCAACCACGAAGCGATAACAGTAAAGGATTTAGCGAATATTTCTATTTTTATCACGGTTTGAAGTTTCAACTCCCAAGAAAAAAAATGCCTTTTTTCTATCCGGTTTGTGACTCAGACCACACTTTTAAAAAAACTTTTTTTTTTAATCGCCAATTGCAAGCTCTTTAAATAAGCTTTCCAACGAGACATCAGTGGGCAGCAGAGGATCATTAGTTTTTCGTTAGTCGTCGATTAGTTGTGGGGGTACAAATGCATAAAATCGGCGTAGCAAATACGATTATTTAATAAAAATTGCATGGAGAGGGTTAATCGTCAGGACAGAGCTATTTTAAGCCAAGCTAACAATTCTAGCATAGGCCGGTGCCCATGGACAAAATGTATAAACATTAAAAATCACGAAAACAAGGAAAAGCTTTTTGAGTTAAATGGGTACTCTACCAGCACCAAGATGGCAGACACCGAAACGTTGTATGTTTACCAGGTTAAGTTTAGGCCATAATTTCAAGGACAAATACTACGAAGTCACTTGGCTAGTCCCCAAACTTGTAATAGAACTAAAATAATGAAATTAAAATAAAATTATGGCCTGATTCTAACCTGGCACATATACGACATTTGAGTGTCTGTCGTCCTGGTGTACATACTTCTGGAGGGCCGTTAAATGTGTACGTACATTGTTCGCAATGTAATAGCGTATAGTTGTTGTAATATTTCACAAAGTTTGTAAATCATTCAGAACTCTGCTCAGCCTTAAAATATTCATGTTCACTAAAACTAACAATTGCGCTTCGTAATATTTTCTTAGAGTGAACAATGTGTTAATAATGTGTGCATAAATAGGTATTATAGTAGAAACACAAAACTAAAACAAATACATAGCATAATTTCCCCATGAAAATGACAATACCCCTCCTCCATAGAAAATATTTCATTCACGGTTGGAAACATAGCTTTACCCACATTGTTTTAGGCATCCCTGAAGAACACTGACCTGTTCAAGCCTTGTAAAATCCTATTTGCATGTCCGTCAGTCTTCACTTTAATTTCGAGAGGCATTTTACTGATATTTCTAACTAATGACTCTGCAATTTAAAGCTAAATAAATCAGTTATAAAATGCCATGTAGAAGACAATTTGTGGAAGACAATTTAAATTTCTATCAAACGTATGTCTCATTTTTTATCAGAAAATTAAACACAGTTATAGGGAACATTAAAAACCAAGGGGTAAAAATTAAAAAAAAATGCTTCAGAAGGGCTTACTAACATTTCAGAATGGGTATTTAGGACTATGTGGGTTAATAGCACTGTTTCTCGCCGCGACCTGAAAACTAGTTCATCTTAAAAACTGACTTGATCATCATGATTAACTATTTATTTGGCGCTCCAGAATTATGTGAACCAATATGACGGACACCGGAACGTAGTATGTGTACCAGGTTAGACCCTACTTTCATTTCAATTTTCTTTATTTTAGTTCTATTACGAGTTCGGGGACTAGCCAAGTGACTTCCGTAGTATTCGTACCTGAAATTATGGCCTAACCCTAACCTGGTACACATTAACACATACTTTGTTCCGGTGTTCGACAACTTGGTTCTCATACTACAAGAGTACCAATATTCATTTAGAATTTGCATTTAGAATATGATTTAAAATGTATAGATGATTTTTTTATCATAACCTTAATTTTGAGGCCAACGCAAACACAAGTACACGACAAATATAGTACAATCCCATCAAAAAATACGTTTTCGCTATAGGGACAGATAAAGTGTTTGTTCAATATAACTAAATATTTGGAACATGCACGATTTGATCTCAACCTAACCCGATAACCTAATATGTTAGAAATAGCAGCACAAGTTCTTATGAATTAGGATAAAAATATTCTGACCAGTCATGCCTCACTTCCCATTTTTAACCATGTGCTTACTTAGTACATATTAGGTTAAGCATGATTGCTAAAGAACTCCGTATGGTGGCTGCATTGTTACACTTATGCTGAACCCCACAGAAATAAACAAAATCAAATACTAGAATATCTGACCAGTGTCCTCATATCAGCTCTGAGAAGCTAGCAAAAATTGTGGAATTTCAGCTGACAGAATTGCAAAAAATCACACGCATAAAAACATATGCCTGTATGTTCATACAGAAGCGGTGGAACAACCAATA